TCGCACTATTGTCCGATTAATATTCAACAAGTTACAGGCTGATATTTTGTGTTGTCATATTTCGTGTTTGCAAATCTTGAAACTCAAAAATCTGTAACTTCGTTCATTTACGTACCAGGACCACGCAGTTCGTCGGAGAATATCGAAGTGTCTCTTACGTTTGTGAATTCAGAAGACGTATTCGGTAACAGACTTCTGGTTCGATGGGTGTTTTTTTTTTGAATAATTCATATCACACAAATTTAGATTATTTGAACACTATTAACTTTGAGCTATTCTACTGTGATGCAACTCGAACGTCATATTAATTCAGAAATTATGTTTTATCGATAAATTACAATCAATAGTTAGCTTCACTGCCCCTAACAACGTATTTAGCCAATGTTCTGTCCGCTGCTACATTACATTACCGTCCCTTCTCAAAGTGTAAGAATGAGTGGTTCATTAACATAAAGTGGTACGTTTCCAGTTTTAATAAAAATGTTCATTAGAGTCATATAATGAATAGTTTAAAGATGCATTATTGGTGATTAATATTCAGAGGTTACAGGCATTTGGTGTTTTCTTTTCGCGTCTTCAGATCTTGATATGCACAAATCAGCAACTTAGTACATTTGCGTGCATGGACCACATACTTTGTCGGAATGAACATGTAATTTTGTCAATTTGAATCGGACCATATTGCAACATTAAACTTGGAATTATCCGACTCTAAAAATCGTTTTCATCATGATTGGAAACGTAACATAAGAATAGTTCATTCCTACATTTTGAGAGTGGTCGGTAATGCATCCGTGAACTAAACATCAGCTTATTAGGTTCTCGGGAGCAGTGAAAGTTAATACTAATTGTATTATAGCGTTAATGCCTATTTTGTGAAGGAATATGACGTTCATGATGTATCTCGTTTGCAGAACTCGTAGTTAAAATTGTTTCGAATAATCAATATTTATATGATATTGAGTCTTTAAAAAACTATCGAACCGTAAGTCTGACACTGAATACGAGGTGCGATCGGATAGTTTCCAGACCGTGTCAATATAGGGCGAACCGGATGTAGTACGAGCTTCTGCCGCTAGGGGGTGCGGCCTACATTCATAGTGAATTATCACTAACACTTATCCTTAGGTTTTACTGATGGTGACGTTGCTGATGCTGAAGCGTCCTTCTTCGAAGTCGCGCGTCTAGATGAAACTTTGGCGTCGTGAGAGGCGTCGTAGTGTCTTCCTTCCGTCTACGGTTAATCACTTGTCACCACAGTATTCTTTTTATTTTGCCACGTTTCCTGCATGCATCGTGCCAGACGTTGTTGTCCACTGCTTCACTCAAACAGCTCCACTAATCTTCTTATCACTAGCTAACTATTGTTCAGCAGAATCATGGGATCTTCTCATGTGATACTGGGATGCATTTAACGTGACACTTTCTTGTAAAGTTACCTCTAAAATTTTACTGAAATCTTTACTAATACATAGCGACACTGAAATGCGACCATTAGTGACGCCTAAAGTTTATGGCGTGGGGTAGAGCGAACCGAAACACCTCATACTGAAATCCACACCAGGCTGAGCACCCAGCCCATTGTTCTTTAAAAAATTCAAGTTTTCAAACCAACTTCCTTTAAAAAATGTCCGGCTATAGTATCTCTACGAACAAAACTAAGGTACTTGCATTTTATAGGAAAAGAGGTGGTTAGAGCAAAAATTTTAATTTCAAATGTACCTACGGAATAAGTCAGCGATTTCAAATACTTAGGCTACTTAATTAGCACAGATAGGTCCAAAGACTTATCACAAATTAAACAATTTTCAATATTTATGCAGCACCATTAGAAGAACTTTATTAGGCAAAGTCAGTACTGAAACCATCCTTAAATTTTACAATACAATGGCAGTTCCTTCACTACTTTATGGCGCAGTATGCTGGACCCTAATCAAACTACAAAAGCAACGAATAAAAGTAGCAGAGATGAAGATCAATTGCACGATATAAAAGAAGAGACCAGATAAGAAATGAAGATATAAGACGCGAAATAGGAATTTTTCAATTGCTGGATAAAATATGAGAACATCAAAGGAATTGGCTAATGCATATAGAGAGAATGGAAGAAAATAGAATTCCACAAAAATGTATAAATATAAACCTAAAGGCAACCGAGGCAAAGGACGCCCACAAAAACGTTGGAATGACCAATTTTAATTGCAGAGTACTATATCCTATTTACTCGAACAGAAAATTCCTTGGAGACGGAACAGTCTAAACCATGGAGATGATGATGGTATTTATGGAAGTCTGGATTCAACTTGAGCTGTAGAGCCACTGAAAGGATGGAGGAATGGATTTTGGTATTTCTTTGTGTCGGAAGTGTGACTTGCATTTTTAATCCTATAAACAGGATTCCTTTTTGTATATACATGTCTGCTGTATTATATTATCTGTCAACACAGCTTTATTCATGCATGAAAATAAGGTTTATTTTGCTTTGTGTTTAATGTTATTCAGATGATATGACCAGCTACAGTAATTGATTATATTATTTGAAATACAAAGACAATTAAATTAAGAATGATTTAATTAGGTTCAGTTATTGAAATCTAGACAAATATTTAATTTTGCTTTTTATATTTCTAATTTTGTGTATTATGTTCTGTTGTGCTTTGAGCAAACATTGTGTGTCTGCTTCTGTATTATACATAAATTTTTTACTTCCATTTGTGCAACTTCCCCCAGAAACCTTTTTCCTCTCATTATTTACAGTGAAAATTGTATGGTGTCATAACACTAGCAAGCGTCATTGAGTGTAAGGTGTTTTGTATGGTGATAAGACTTTGAAAAGATTGCAATTTTTGTTGGATAAATTCTTCTAGAAAATATAAAATAAGGGCATGATGGCAGAAAAAACGCTTTCTTTGTGTGTGAATCATTAACTTGAGGTATTATGTATATTTTATATAAAAGATGTGTCATGATTCGCTATCATCTGATTGTTGTGAAATTACAACATTCTGTATAAGTGGCTTAAGTTCAGTCCTGATGTACTCTCATTCACACTCTTTTTTTTTCTACTCATTTCATTATAGAAAAGAACATTTTGAATAAGACAAAAATATTGATTTTAGGCATTAAATTCCAGAGAAATTATACTTCATTCTAACCTAAACGTTGTAGTCCATCAGATCCATAAATTGCTCCAAAATCCATTAAAAAAAATTAATGCATTTTTATGAAGCTGTTTTTCCTAGTGAAAATGTTTGTGGGTGGGGATCAGATACTTCTGATTTAAGATAATTTCATGTTTTATTTTTCCTTATTTATGTAGGAGTGTTATCTGTACATTGTATATGTAAGTTTGTAAAAGTTTTAAATGATAATGTGTTGGTAAGGATGGCATGGATAGAAACCATTTTCCATCAGATCACAAAAATCTCACTTGACGGATCACAGAACAGCTACCATTATCTTGAGCATGTGGTTATGAACATTTACAGAGGTGCTAAGATTTCATTTAGAATCACATATATTGTTGCCAGCATCTTCTGTTATAAGGTAAATTCTCTTTTTGATGTGTTCAGGCTGTAGGTTTGTCAGCCCAGTTGGCTGTTTAGATTTCCGTGGGCCATGTGATTGGAAGATGATCTGACTGTTCTGTTTGTGAAGTTTGGCGATTAGCAGGGACGCCAAAAATAATCTCTTTGTATGTAGCAAGCTACGTAATTCAAACTTCTGAAATTAATGAACCAGAGCAGTTGTCGTCATCATTGTCTTTTGCTGCTCATTAGTCTCTTTGACAGTCATTCTTGCTATTTTATATCAGTTGATCTGTACCACATCATTAATTCTAGAAATCTGTTTCTCTGCGTTCAAAGTGGTAAATCCATTTCTTAGTCCAAACATTTAGTCACTGTTAATATGGTCTTAATTTAAGATTACTGTCTTCTGGGTTGTTGTGCCGTGTAGTCTGGTAGAAGTTTACCGACGTTTCAGAGGTCCTTGCTGCCTCCATCATCAGGATGATGAAGGAAGAAGACAAATTGAGGGCATTTGAGAACAAAGTGTGTAGGAGAATGTTTGTAAGATTGCTAATGTAATCCTTGTACATTAATAAAAAAACAAAATTAAGCTAGTAGGAGAATAGCAAAGTACGATTATTTCAGCGGTATTTTATCAGACTTCCCTACCTTCAATGGCCTCGACTGACTCAGGATAACTTCAGAGGATGTGGATTCCTATTCGAAAGTTGTTCTCTCTGAGTCCCTCTATACGCTCCTTCAGTTTGCCCTAACCTTCTGAATCACCCTGTATACATGATGGTTTGCCAGAATTGAACTACGCTTTAATGCAGACTCCAAAACTATGGTGCAAGTCTCATGCACTTCCCTTTCCTAATTTTTTATTTTTGGTATACATAAAGGCTTCATTTCATCTGTGAGCAGAAAACACTGCACAAGAAATATCTAACTGGGGATCAAACTAAGTACTCTGTATAAGAGTTCAGTCTTATTACCAGACTACGAGGTCCTCCACAAAGTCATAGTGCATTATTATTTTCTCTGTTTTAATCTGAAATTCTTAGATATTAAAAATTAGTATTTCAGTTACAGAATAAATCTTCTAGCACAATAACAAACATAAAAGAAGACTGTAAGATATTCAGTGTTCACTATCTTCACATAACCTTTAATTTGCTACACATCTTCAACTGTGGGCAAATTCACAAAAGATATCTGAGGGCCATTTACAAGAATTAAATTTTATATCACATAAACAGGATTTCAGCGCAGTTTAACCCAACACACAAGAAACCAGAGAGGTAGAACATTTATGAAATTCTTAGGCCCGAAACAATAATTGTTGTAGGAATATAAGTTGCTGATAATATATATTGACCATGACCTTGATATGTTGGGAACACAGTCTAAGCATAATAAATGTTCACAGAACATTCATACAGGACACTGGCATAATGACCACACTGAATTTTTTTTAGTAAGAACATGTAATATTTGTAATTTCCAACAAAATAATATTTATGTCATTTACACACATGCTATACAATATTTCTCATAACGTAAATTTACCAAAGCCATGAAACAGAAAGACAATCATAATGAATGATAATGTTCCATTCGTGAACATGGTTTCATTAGTTAAGTGAAGCCTCCACATGGTTCTGAATATGCAGAAGATTCATTACAGTGAAACTACAATTCTAACTTTATAACTCTCGACTATGCTGCAAAATTCAAGAGTATCACCATGCTTTGTTATTTAACAAACATGAGTCATTAATATAATTAACAAAACTAATATTGTGATCATATTGTATTTTAAGGAATGTATCTGAATCCTACGTATACAGACCCTCCTCATTTCTTCTCCATTACAATTAACAATTAAAAGGAATAATTTACTTTATGAATGGATGGAATCTTGAGCAAAAATACAGCAGGAAGAATGTTTTTAGTCAATGTTATAATTTCTTGCTTGATCAGGATTTTGGTGTGAATGTGCCTAACTCTTCATTTTTTGAATAAGCTCATCAACATTCTGTGTATTTTGTGCTGAGAACATAAATAGTAACTCTCTTATGTATTATATTGTATAGTTGTTTGGTAACATGGTGCTGTTCTGATGTAGTTTCACATGACACAAAAACACGTAACTGTGATGCTGATTACAAAACAGAGAACATTATTATGAATCACATCACACATAAAATTCAGTGTCATTTTAAGCAGTGCCATATGCTTGTATAATGACTTACACAAAATTGATCTTAACTCAACTGGCATATTCTAAGCACATAGAAAATATGTTGCAAAAGTCAACTTGAAACCATCCTTGCACAGAATAAAAATGATAATAAATACTTCTGTTCCATAATATCAAACACGTTTCAGTTATCTTTATTTTATGTGAAATATTTCCTGTTCTTTGTCTCTTGCAGATATTTAAATTTGACTGCAGTATTCAGCTTGAGAAATACACATACAGAGTGTTCAAAAAGTCACGCAACCTTATGGGGAAACTATTTATTTCACAGTAAGTGCTGGAAGTGGCCGCCGTTCTGTGTTTCACACAAGTGGACATGGTTAATCTTGTTCTTGAAGACCCTTTGCAATGTTTGCCATGGGATTGCATCTACACAATTCTGAATGTTCGCTTGCAATTCCTTAATACTGCGTAAATTAGTTGCACAGGCAACATCACAGCATATACAGCTTGCACGTCGACCAACTTTTCCTGTGTTAACACCTTTGGTCGACCGCTACTCGATGCGTCCTCGACTTTCCCTGTCTCCTGAAACTTGTCGTGTAGCCGCATGTTGGACAATTTGTTTGGAGCAACTGTTCCGTACTTTTCTGAGAAGGTCTCCTGCGCCCTGGCATAACTGCCGGAGTGGATGTACAGCGTGACAATAAATATACGCTCCTGCAACGTGTACCCCACGGCTACTCACTGTCCGTCATCACATGGACAAAAAAAAACAACAAAAAACAATTACATGTGTTGAACAACAACATGCGTCCCCCCATAAAGTTGCGTGACTTTTTGAACACTTTACAAGTTTCATCACCAAGCTAGCATTTACACCTCAAATTTATTTTTGGTATGCTTGAAAAGTTATATTTAATCAGAATATATGCCAAATGGTCCCCTACTTATTGAAGCATTCTGCTATAATGAATTATATTTCACAAGTCTCTGATAAATATGGCATAAGGTGTCAAGATGAATTCTGAGGTAAATTTTCATCTCCCCATGACTAGAATTAATGTAGTTGTTAGCTGATCTTGGGGCGCTTTGTCGCTACTGGCTGGCGGTTCACTTCACTATTTCCAGCAAGCAGGGTTGTGGGATCCATCTTCCCCCCAATAGATACAGGAACTCTCATACTGAGAGATATGCCCCCATTACATGGCCCAGGCTGGAGGTAGCCACTGGACAGATTGTTATTGTATTTCTGCATCAATAAAAACCAGATGCTTGTTAATGCAGTCAACCTGGAAGGTCTGCAAGGTAAATGTTAATTTAACCCTTAAATTTACTAAAACAATAAGGAAATTCGGTTACTTCATTTTTCACGAGACAGAAATTAGGACTTGAGGTTCCCATGATGGTGAGTATAAAGATGTCTGCCTTCTGGGTTATAGCGCTGTGCAGTCTGATAAAAGTTTACCAATATTTTACATACACTAGCTGCCTCATTTATCATCACTCTGGTAATGGAGGCAGCAAAAACTTCTGAAACACTGGTAAACTACCAGACTACATGGCACTACAACCCACAAGGCAAACATCAAAGAAATTTTAAAGTTTAACTAAAGACCCCTATTTGCAATTCTCATGTTGTTACATGACTAGTAATATTTATCTATAAAAACTTATTTTCCTATGCATCATAACACTTGGTAAAAACACTTAACTCTATGTAGGTTTCTTTTTTACCTTTGTTCAAGGATAAAACATTAACTTTTATAATGCCTACTCTCAGCTCCTACACAACCATGTACTTTCTGCATCTATATAACGAAATTGGTATTTTTACAAACTTTCAAGTTCATTTTGCATTCTTCCACACCCACAGATAGAACAACAATTTGAACACCACTTCTCCTCCAAAAATTAATATGTTGCCAGATTAATTTATTTTGTGTTACCGATAAACCAACTACTGCATTTTTTCAGTAAAATTAGAAAATAGAGATACAGACTGAAATATCAAAAAGACACATTCATATATAGATACTGAGTAATGTTTTTCACCTGAAAGTCATGAACCAATTCATTACAGGAATTAGGAAATCCTAAAAGCATCTTTGACTGCTGGGCACGTCACAATATTCTAGCTACTCTGTCTAATCTAGTCTGGTTAAGTACAGTCAAACCCAAAACAATGCCCTTGTATGTAATGTCAACCTTGCGCTGAGCCCACCCTCCTGCAGAGAATCTTGACATGCATTGGCAGTTGTCTTAATAGGCATCTTACTTTCCTATGAATGTAAATTTTAGTGTAAACACATTATACTTAGTGTTTCTTCCAATAAAACATAAAGTATGTAACAATATATGTACTTACCCCTCCCATGACTGCAATCGGAGTCTCCCCTGTCTCCAAGGCCACCTGATGCCCGATAAGGAAGAACATGTATTCATCATACAACAGACGGATCAGATGAAAGGAGCCAAAGCTTACCACGCTTCGGAGGGTTAGGTCTCTGATGACGATTGAGCTGCCGGGGACAAAGAACGTTTTAGCTTTCTATTTTACCACTCTCGTTATTAAAAGAAACTAATATCACAAATCCAGGGCCTAAACAGCATAAAACTTTCTTACTTCACTAGAAAATATACGTACACAAAAAAGTGTAAATTTATAACAAGCACAGAAGAGGAAGCAAGAGTATGTTTAAAGAGAAGAGCAGGTGAGTTCATGCTGTCTTGCAATAAATCAACTGGCCAACTCTTCATCTTCACTTTCCAGTTGAAAACCAATAGGAAGTTTAGTGAAAATGCTATTTACTGTGGTCGAAGCAAATCTGTGCATTTGAGATCTATTATAAGTAAAGACAGGGGGATCTGAGGTGAGGGAGAAATACAAAGTGTGGCAACTGGAAAATGGGACTGATGCTGGAAAAAAATAATGATTCCATGTATGAGTAATCTGAAAATTGTTTATTCAAAGTAGCTTCCTCCTGCATCTACACACTGCACACAGCGATCATGAAGGAACTGGAAGGAATGGCGAATGGCCGTGTCTGGAATTCTGTTCAGTACTCTCGTTACAGCCCTTTGAATGGTGTCCACGTCATCAAAATAACAGCCTTTCAGTGGTGCTTTGAGTTTTGGAAACAAAAAAAGTCACACGGTGCTAAGTCCGGTGAATACGGTGGATGTGACAATACACAGACTTTTGTGGTGGCCAAAAACTCCCTAACAATGAGAGCCTTATGGCTTGGCGCTTTGTCTTGCAACAGGAACCAACTGCCATCTTCTCGATCCTGAGGCCGTACACGACGGATTCTCTGAACAAGTAAATACACTTATTCTGTGCAAAACATTCAAAGTGCTCGATGCATGACTGTAACTTCTGTCGTGATACTCTGAATTTTTATTTCCGGGAATTATTTATTATAAAAATGTTCATACACTTCTTAGTAATTTGGTCAGCATTTTGTTATGATTTCTGCATTTCCAGAAACTTATATAATTTTCGCCAATCCCACAAAGGTGTAAATAAAGAGTTCCACTGTTATTTATTTTAGAACACAGTTCAACCCCTGCAAAAGATGGAACCCTGGTCATCCAGTCCGTAGCTACCTTGGTTCCTACCATACTACTTTGCTTACCTATAAAATGACCATTTGAGTAAAAACTGTCTTGCGACCTTGGCAAAGTTTGGTTTCCCTTCATAAGGTTTTAGCACCTGCGTAACGACACCCTTCAGCCGGGCTGCCCACTCTTCCAAAGAACATTGCCGTTGTAATGTCACCTTGAAGTCAGCTTCCAGTTGCTGTACCATTCGGTCATCACACTGACAGACCCACAATGCCTAAAACAGTGATGCAATAATAAATCAGAAAAATAAAGAAAAAGACATCTGAACTGAAAATCAAACTTAATGGGCTTATTACTAGTCCCATTCATTTGCCAAAAATAATACAAGCAATTACTAATAGTGTAAAATAAATATGAAGTAAATTCTCTTGTACAATAAAAATTAAAAGCATAGAAATTTCAAAATAAAAACTATTGTAATCACACAAAATATTTACATATTTTACCAGAAAAGGAGAGAAAAATCCACACTTTGAAAGTAGTATTGTTCAAGCCTTTACAATATTTTAAGGCTCAAAGAAATTCAAAAGATAAATTTCAGAACAAAATTACAGTAATAAGATACCACTGTCAAAGAAATTTAGAAAACAACAATTTTGCGCATTCCCTAAATAATAATTTGATAAAATAAATATTTATTTTACAGTTCACAATTTTTTTTTGTAAAGTGTTGCAAATAACCCAGTGTTACAGTGACGATGCACTGAAAAATAGATGTTTTTAAAGGGGTTAAAAACAGCCAACTAGCATTAACCTTTAAGTAAATTAAGTTTTGAAACAAATTATAATACCAAATGTTCAGTACTACTGACAAAATTCTTATGCAATCGCAAACAAATATACCACCTTACATTCACTGACCATACATATCTCTATAGTAATTCAATCACTTAAATGGTACTTATTCATACCTGTTCTTGTACATTATGAAAATCAACTCGATTAAGGTCAACCAGCATTTGATTTATCTGTGCAGAGTTCTGAAGGATAGCACGTGCAGTTTGAGCGAGATGGTTTAGTGAGGTGTAGCGCCATAAAGACTGTGCTAAGGCACTAACGGCAGACACTTTGATGTTCACCATTTCCTCAGGGCAGCCTGTCATGGCTGCTGTTAGCCGCGAATCCAGGCCTTTTGCAAAGTTGCGAATTGCTTGCGTTAATGAACCTGGTGAAAACAAGAAAGTCCTGTAACACCATTTTAATAACCGTCCTACCAGCAAAGGAAATACATCTTGTAATTAACTGACTGATACATAAAGTCTTAATATCATTGTGAGATTCAGGTTCTTACAGTGGCAAGGATGAAGCTGGTCGTCTTCTGGGTTGTTCTTAGAAGTTTACTGACATTTCAGAGGTTTTTGCTGTCTCCATCATCAGGGTGATAAGTACCTCCAAAACCTCAGTAAACATGTACTAGACTACACAGCGATAGAACCCAGAAGGCAGCCATCTTCGTAATGTCAAGCAAGCCACTAGGACCTTACTTAAAAAAATTAACGAGAACTGTAAAAACAGCATATCACAGACTTGCACATGCACAATGACTAACACACCAACAAAATGTCACATAATTAATACGAGGTGCGATCGGAAAGTTTCCAGACTGCGCGTATAAAAACCCGTACACTTACTCAGGTATTAAATTCATCCATCACCATCCCAGCGCCGCTGCCAAGCCTGGAAGCATCCCTGTAAATCTTTCTTTGTCAACCTGTCAAGCACCATCTGCGATTCTGCCTGAATCTCTTCTATCGTCTCAAATCTCCTTCACTTTAGCTGAATTTTCATTATTTGGGAAGAGGAAGAAGTCACACGGAGCTTAGAAAGGAAGTTGGGTCGGTTTTTGCTAGATCTTTGAGCTCGTGACAAACGAGAAGTCGATTCTGCTTCTGGTCCTCAGACAGGAGCCTTGGCACAAACTTGGCTGCGATGCGTCGCATGTGTTCTTCCTTTAGAATCAGCTGACAGGTCCTATCCCAACAATGTCGCACAAGTCGTTGATGGTACGACGTCGATCTTCGTGAATGGCCTGCCGAATCTTCGTAACATTTTCGGGCGTTGTGACGCCATTCCGAAATCGCAGGAGGGTCGGTGTAATGCACTACCAAAACGCCCGTAACTAAGAAACAAATGCTAATTCGATGATGCCGGCTGGCACACTGATACACTATGAATGTAGGCCGCACCCCCTAGCGGCAGAAGCTCGTACTACATCCGGTTCGCCCTCTATTGACACAGTCTTTAAACTTTCCGATCGCACCTCGTAGGTATATCCTGAACAGGCAATTTCTTACAGGTATATTCAGTGACGATAACAGGCCAGAATGTCAGCTGACACACTGTTCTGATAATTTGAAGTCTATCCTGCCTTACTGGGACTCTTCAGAAAATATCTTTCATATTAAATTGTAACAGATAAAATAACATGTTGCCACACAAAATGAAAACGAAAAAACTCTCAATAGTTTTTAAACCACTCCTTTTCAGGCTGTCTGGAACTAATCCTGTTTCTTATACCACTTAGACTTGCTTACAGATATTATACATCTCTCGTTGACTTAACATGTTAAATGCATTAAATAAACAGAAATCACTCCATTCTTTTCACTGCACCAAAAACAGGGAGCAGTTAAAGTTGGTCACGTGCTTAATTAAGCTAATTCCATGAAGATGGAGGAATGGAAGTTAAATCCATTCTTAACAATTGTACTAGATTTGCTTCATGGGATGTAGCCCCCAGGAAATCAAACACAAATCGTTTGGCCTAAATTCTAGTCATGATACTGACTGATCTAACCAAATAAATCAAATTAAAAATGTTCTACCAATTGAAATGCTGTAAGATATATTGGAAGTAGAATTAAAAATGTATATATTTGTGAGGAAAATAATCTACTTGCACAAGACATGTGATGTAGATAAATGAGGCAAAGACTGAATATTATATAGACAAAATTATACTCACTTGGAATTGGCCTAAGGACATCTGGAATGAGAACTTCGACTAGATTCTGATAAAAAAGGTAATCAATGCGTCGGACAAACTGTTGGACTGACCCACACTTGGATAAAAGATACAGCTTTGCTCTGAAACAATGATATTTTATCATATAAGTAATGAGACAGAGCGAGCTGTTCGTGAAAACATGTCGGCCACATTACTCTCATTTCTATTTGAATTAGACGGTATAACATAAGCTCTCAACATATAACATATCATTGTTAAAAGAAACGACCAGTTTTATTTTTTACTTTAACTGACATGTTTCATGACACCTGAAAACTTTTGGCTCTTGGTGGAAACATCTAAAATTTTCAAACAGCCAAAGACTAAAACGTGTAAAGATATTTTGTAACGATGTGCAAAACTCCAATGAATAAAATTTAAACATATTAGTAGGCTAAAGTTTTATTCGTGGATGAACCAGATAGAAATTTTTACTTATAACAAAAAGGTATATAATGAACGCTCATGCATTTACTTTAAAGGTGTACACACACAAATCAAGACGTACACTATGTACATATTCCCATCTAAAAAATATCACCTCTTCACGAATACTGGATATGCACTGAGAGGAAATTTTCACTAAGAGAGAGAGAATTTTATACAAAAATTTCACATCTAAGAAAACAAACATAAGAGACATCCATTTTATACATGATATGAGGTTTTCACAGCGGTGAGTATGAAGATTTCTGTCTTCTGGGTTGTTGCGCCGTGTAGTATGGTAGATGTTTACCAACGTTTCAGAGGTCATACTGCCTCCGTCATCAGGGCGATTCAGTATGACCTTTGAAACGTTGGTAAACATCTACCATACTACACGGCGCAACAACCCAGAAGACAGAAATCTTCATACTCACCGCTGTGAAAACCTCATATCATGCATTATAAATACATGCTAGGTACCACTTAAAAAATGGACAACACATGTATCACTCATGAAAGTAAAAAAAATATTTTCATACCAAATTGTGGTTAAAAACTTCAACAGAAGAGACCACTTTGCAGACCCAGTTACAAATACGGTGCGGAGCCACGAAGTGCATTAAAATGGCTCCGGACGGGACCTGATAGTAGGCTCTTGTGCACACGGCAAAAAACCTCCGGATTCCATAACCACAGGGAATTTAATGACCAGCTGAATAAATATCAACTACTCAAGAAGGCCGCGATTCTGATATTACATAAAATACAGCACGTACCGTATAATTCAAATTACGAAGTCTTTGTGCTGGGATAATACACAGAATATCATTACCGAGTAGTTAGCAATCTGCTTCAAATTTAGGAGGTCCTAGATTCAAATCTTAGTTTAAAGACCAGCTATACTGATAGAAGTTTTTCATAATTTTTCCCAGTATCTCTGTAAAAATTCCGGTGTAGTGTTTTAAATTAGGCCAATATCACTTACTCCGATATACCTTTCAATTCAGTACTCAGTAATAATCTCATCACTTGACGCTATACAGTGTGAACTACTGATGTCTAATAAACTACAAATAACAACACAAAACAATAATATATAAATTCTGACACAATGAAGTAATTAAATACACAACCAATCACGAAAATCATAAATCAAACAGGAAAACCACGTTCTCTGAATTTCCCACTCAAGAATCTATTCCAAATTTCCCCTTACCAAATAAATGGAAAAAGATCTTTGGGGAGACCCTAAAAGAGGCATGTGAGCATAATAGGTCAGTGAGCCCAAGAAATGATGCTGCTGATGATGATGACATAAGGAAACAACAGAGGAACCAAGAGACATAAATATATGACCAGAACCAGCACAATTTTCTATGGTTAATCTCTGACAGAGCTTAGTGGCGAGGAAAGAGGAAATCTTATGCAAGTCAGATAAAAGCATGAAAAAATCTGATAGAGTTATTAGGCTTTGTGAGGATGGGATGAAATTTTACTGAATAAACAGGCCCATAGGAGCAGAAGATATACTGGGCAACAGTTGTTAAAACACTAACAGAAAATTACCTCACAATGTTCTCTGTAGATACTACGTAATGTGTCCACATCTTCCAAAGTGCAGTCTTCAGGTAGGACAAATCCTGGGGGAAATTCTATTTCTGGGAAGTCATGTATTTCTCCTGAACCATCACCTAGGAATTGGTGGTGATGAGGATGCTGTAAAAATCAGATATTATGAATGTATACCCACACACAATACATATCATGTATCAAAATCATATATAATCTGAAATAACTGCCAATCTATATTGGACAAGATATCACTTTAAATGCTTATTAATGCAGATCTTTTAGTTTGATTAGTTTGTAACTCAAAACTAAGAACCGCATGTAGCATTAATTTGAATTATAAATGCACCTGTGGTGATGAACTTGAGTGATTCGAGCTGGCCGAGTGATTGGTATTTTGCTCATACTGGCTTTTTACTTTCTGAGCACCACCATTCCCATTACCACCTGTGCCTGATATCAATTTATAGCGTACCTGTGATAGCGGTTGCTGGCGACCACCAGCTTCTGACAGCTGATTTAATGATGATCCAGATATTAAACGAATCCCATAATAGTGATATTTCGAATTACCCCTGCAATAATAAAGGTTAGATATTTATACTACATTCTCCTATTTCCCTATCCAGTTACATGTCCGGATGTTAAAATGATGTGTCTTAGTAATAGGTTTATAAAATTCTAGTATAAATGTAGATAATACATCTAATTTGACAGAGCTTAGTTCTTATTGTAAAATATTTCTGACTCTAAAATTATTTTCAAAATTAATTAACTCATCTCTCATAGATGGCAAACATCTACCAGACTGTACGGTGTTACAACTTAGAAAACAGCCACCTTCATTTCCTCTTTGTATGACATTTTCTGTACCCACAATATGACATTATCCTCTATCAGTCAAGGGTGAGTGAAAAGAAGTAATGTTTTCCTAGATAATTTTAGCGATTTTACATACCACACTGATCTGATGTTCATTTAAGTAAACTGCTGTAAAGCTAATTAAATATAGGCCTACATATACTATTCACAGCAACAACTTTTGTTGCTGTTCGCCAGTCAGTTTCTCACTGCTGTCAACTATGCCACAGTGGTGATTTTAAACATCTATACATTAAATTCGTTAACTCACCAAGTGTCATTGCTCTCATAAGTAATGGTCTAGTTTATTAAAATAACATTACTTCTTTCACTGAATATGTGTATACATAATTTGAGTCATCCAGAACATTTTATATCATGTACCAATGCTTTATAATGGAAAACGTTTTACAAAATCAATTACATTCAACATGCGTGACATGTAGAGTAGAGGTTACATCAAATTAATATGGAACAAAATATACGTGATAATACTTGCCTTGGTCCAAGTCTTCTGGTTCTCAACCCAAGAAAAACAGAACGGATGAGCTTCCCAAACGATGCCGCATTAACAGGATCTAATTTGTTATGGCTGCAGTGACGGAGGTAATGGTTGTACAATGTAGAATGAGGGAGGCTCCCATCATCAGCCACTTCATAGTTTTGCACCAGCCATTGTACCTGCATCCATACAGTAATGATAATATAACACAAGTGCCTCACTATTGCATACTGTGGAATGGTTACTAGCAAGAGAATAATCTGTAGAAATAAGACATACATGGAAATAAACATACAAAACAAAGACAACAAATTATTGGTATTACTAGCCTATAATACAATATAATACAATATTCGAAAGTTAAGGAGATCAGGTAACATATAGTAGGTAAAGACCCATAAGGAACATCAATATTGATGACACAAGTGTAGTATTTACTCCTATCAATTGCATATTATACAAAATTTGGTCTACAAAAGCATGCACTCAGATATATGAATACATTCAAATGACAATACAGGAATTCTGTGAATATCGTATCACCTTTTAATTCATATATACCCCAGACTAAAAGTTTCAAATTTATCAAATCATGACTAATGTCTCATTGACGTCTTATAGCTGTTTATTTTTATCACTGCCATTATACCACATGCCCTGGGTGCAAGTCTCCAAATATAGGCAATTTAAAAAATAAATGTATAAAATTTGAGGTTAGAACTGTTCTAGATGGTAATTCATAAAGGTTTTAGATTTCATAGCAGTTTTAAAAATATAAATAAAGGAAAAAGCATGATAAAGAGACAGTTCTCAACTATATCTGAATAACACTGTGAAATGGCTGACAATATGGAATGTGCATTTTTCTTTTCATCGTCGTGACCCCTTTCTGGGGTTTCTTGTGAAAGTACCACTGTGGTTTCGTCTTGCCTTCTGTGGCCAGTCTTTACCCACCAGACTGGAAGAGGAGACACGGACAAACATCCATGCCTTGAGTGGGACTCGAACCCACGGTCGCAGCGGCCAGGCGCATGAGGACCATGCCTCAGATAGCGTGGCCACTGGGAATGTGCATACATCAAGATAAATGTAAGGTGACCATGAAAATCAACAAAATGTTCAAATCTGCATTTAGTTAGATGCTCACAGCTGAATGATAACATTTGAGTTGTGCGTTCAATTTTAAAAGGCCAGATTTACATCAAACATTTTCAAACCCCTGTCCACACATCATTTCACACTGATGAAACAATCATTCATGTTCATGATAAAACTTGTACTCACAAACAGAAAATATTTTATGTGGACAATCTGAAACATCTGAGATATAAAGTACAATGTAAAATTCCTAAAAATTGAAGTTTATTTTGTGGCTGTAGCATCACAGCAATGCATTGGTTGACAACATTTCACTGCTTTCCCTCACATCTTCAGAATGTGTTAAAGATCATCAAAACGTGAAACCCTGAAAGAAGTGTACCAGTCAAGAAGTTCCTTACATTTTATGTAACCCGATGGTTTAATACCATGTTCATAGGAGCCCATATACAGCATACATGTAAAAGAAATATGTGGTGTAGACAGGAGATTAATGCAACCACCAGCATAAGAGAATAACTGCATAATTTATGTTTTGTTATGAATTACAAAGTCACTACAGGCTACAGTGGTCAGAAAATCTTCATCAATTTCTACAAAAACATTCTTATTTCGCAAGGAATGCATAATATTAATCACTTCACACATTCAAAACGACAATAGTTTTACCCATAAAAAAACATTTTACTTTGAGAAATTTCAGGTTCTCATGGCAGTGGATAATAAGATGAATGTCTGCTGAGTTGTTGTGCCATGTAGTCCGAAAGAAGTTTACAGACGTTTCAGAGGCATCTTCCATCTCATCACCCTGATAATGGAGACAGCAAGTAGCTTTGAAAGACAGATAAACACGTCTGTACTCCCTTCTGTGTCTTTCCAACTTGTTGCCATTCAGACCTTCATCTCTGTCCTGAGCATTTTCTTTTGCTTTCATGTTCAAAATCCTGTTTACGATTCTCTTCAGTCATCCTTAAAATATGCCCATACACTCATATTCTGTTATTATTAACTTTCCTTCCAAAGTGTTAATCCCAGAATACAATTACTTTTTTCTTATTTCCTCTCCTTTAATTCTTCTGCTTCATCATACATGCATCTATATCATACTCCATGGATCCAAATTTAATCATATGACACTAGGATGTGGAATGAGTCATAATAATATAATACATATTAAAATAAAATTCACACTGTTATAAAACTTTCACATATTATAAAAAAGGGTTCACATAAAGTAGTGATATGTTACAAATACATCTAGCAATTACATACAGTATGTACATAAATTACACTACCCATTCATATTGTATGAAAACAAGAAAACCTTAAGAAACATTATGACTTATTTGTAATCATCAGAAATTCATCAACAGACTAAAAGGAGTATGCAATTAAGTATATTTTTAATGCTACTTTAAATTATGTTTTTTTATTTATAAGACTCTTGAGACTTGAAGGCACACTTGAATATGTTGATGCCTACATAATAGTCATTCTTCTGACAACATGAAAAGTCGGCAATTGGTGTATGAAGTTGATTCTTATTCCTTGTGTTTGTATTGTGTAACGAAGAATTAGTTTGAAAATGTTCTTGGTTGTTACAATAATTCTTACACTGAGACAGCTCAGTAAGTATAATAACAAGGTAATGAGTTGGTTGATAGGGGTGGTTCAATTCCTGGCAATAGAGAAAATTTCTCTTCCCCACAATATCCACATCGCCCTCGGTGGTCTTGTGGTTAGCGTGCTCGCCACTGGACCCAAGGTTCGCGGGTTCGAAGGGTGATAAAAATCGATAGCGCAACTTCCTTCGGAGGGGAAGTAAAGCCGGCGGTCCCATGTCGTACATTTACGGCATGTAAAAGAACCCCACGAGCATGATAAGAGATGTTTCGTAAACAAGATTCAGCGGCCATTTCTCACCCAAGTCTCTCCTGATTATCTGCTAGATGGCTCTGGCAGTCAAATCAGGATTGAGTAGAAATTGAGCAGAGTCAGTGGGCTGGTCACTCTGCTCTTAACTGCACGCTTTTAAGACTATGAAACCTCCGAAAGGAGGCGGCAATGACCCATTACTTCTACCCAACGGGTTTCAGGGTTCTTTCTTGTGATAAAGCAGTCGTAGTAAGAAACTACCAACGTCCATCTAGTTCCAAGGTTAGGAATATGTGGAGCTGTACCTCAACAACCCATGTGGTTTTTACTTAAGCCCCAGGGACAGCTCTAAAATTTCAATTTTTCATGTAATAAATCTACTAACATCTTGGTCCATGTCCAAATTTCAGCTCCATATGTTAATATAGGCATGAGCCACTTTTAAACAGATATATGTTCTCTTCTTAGGCATATCCGATTTCCAGACTTATTTTCTGACTTATCTGCACAACCACACACCTTTATAAACCTGATACTTTATCCTAAATATTTAAGAATAATTATTATTATCCTTTGTAATTTCTTCTCCAAGATGCTTTCATTTGGTTCCCATGTTAACTACATATATATTTTTTTGTATATACCACACGTTTGTACTACACACTTGTCTTTCTGTTACTAATTACTAGGGTTCAGATGTTCATGACATGTCATATTTATTCTAATCACAATTACTCTGTATTTATTTCGCATATAAATGCATATTTAGGTCATTTTTATGATTTTGGTCATATTTGTAGTTAAATTAATATTTTGGTTAAATTTTGAGGATAAATGCACATTTTGTTTATATTTTGAGGATAAAACTCATATTTTGGTTATATTTTGAATATAAAATTCTTACTTCTTTCTCAGGCACTTACAGCGAATCCTTCAGTTAGTTAAGATGCTGAAAGTGAAGTGTTCTGAAAGTGCGAAATTAAGAGGTTTAGTTGAAGATTTTGGCGAGGAATATTTCAGTTCTGATGGAACAATTCTGTTCTGTAAACTTTGTGAAGTTAAAGTTACAGCTGGTAAGCGATTTAATGTGCAACAACATTGTAATACGGCAAAACATAAAAATTATTTAAGCCGACAAACCAATCATCAAAGCAAGCAACGACTTCTGTTCGACAACACTGCAACAACGTCACCATTAAACAAAACGTCGGAATTTTCAAAGGACCTGTGTGAAATGATGGTGTCTGCCAACATACTAATGAGCAAAGTGAAGAATGAGCAGTTCTAAACTTTCTTGAAGAAATACACGACTCAGTTAACTCCAGACGAATCAACACTGAGGAAAAAACTATGTACCTGCCTGTTATGAAGATGTTCTAAAAAGAATTACATTTACTATGGGCGAGAATAAAATTTGGTTTTCGATTGATGAAACAACGGATGTCTGCGTCAGATATGTAGCGAATGTCGTTATTGGCACGATCTTTGCTGACCGCCCTGGTGACTTATTCCTTCTTGATACAGTAAACCACTCCTCTATCGCTGTACTTTTCGATAACGTCATGAAACTCTTGTGTAAAGGCGACGTTAAGCGAGACAATCTCCTCCTATTTTAACGGACGCTGCACCGTATATGATAAAAGCTGCCAAAGGTCTCAAAATGCTTTATCCAAAAATGGTCCATTTAACATGTCTCATGCCGAAGAAATTAGACGTAGTTATACTGAAGTCGAGAAGTTTATTTCGAACGTTAAGCAAATGCTCGTTAAAGCTCCATTGAGAGCGCAGAAATTCAAACAACTCGCACCTTCATTGCCTCTTCCTCCTCAGTCGGTACTCACTCGATGGGGTACCTGACTCAATGCTGCTGAGTACTACTGCGAAAACTAAGCAGTTATTGAAGAAATTGTTAGTTTTGACAGCAGTGAGGCATTTTCTATCAAAATCGTTAAAGAACTATTTTCCAGTAGTTTTCAGAAATTCTGGCGTATATAAAATCTAACTGTGGAAGTAGAGCAACTACAATTTCTCGCCTAGAGGCAGTTGGCGCAGATCTACACGAAAGTTTGGAGCTGATCAAGGGTCTAGAGTGCGAGAGTACAAGAGGCAAAATAGGTGATGCTGTGAATCAAAACTTAATACAGTGCTGTGTCGAAATGATGGTTATGCGACAATGTGCAAAATAAGCCACATCCTAAAGCTACACTTGGAGAAGATGAACAATCGTTAAACAGCAATGATTTAACCCTATTCAAATATGCTCCGGTGACGTCGTGCGATGTTGAAAGAAGCATATTAAGCGACAATCGAAGAAGAGACCTTGAAAATGCACATTGTTATATATTGTAATGCTGCCAAGAAAGAAAAATGAAGAAATTGCGTAATGCTTTTAATGTTGTTTACTTATTTATTTATTTGTAATTAATGAATTTCATATGCATGAAAGGCTCTTCTTTTAAATTTTTCTTCTTTTTATAGGAGCACGTATTCTCAACATCTGATGCTGATCCAAAACGAGGCATTTACAACTTAAAGCGTCTGAGGTTTTGACGTAAATACGTCTATATTGAAGGGTCATTCCGCAAAAAAGTGTTACGAAAAAGTGTAAGGAAAATGTGTAACATGGTTACCTAGGAAATATCAATAATTTGTAAATATGGACCATTGTCGTCGGTAATGTGTAAGATCCGTATCAACAAATCGAAAACAATGTGTAAATATGGACCGACAACAATGGTCAGCTTGCGTGCATTGTTATGTTACCTAGGAAACGTCATCTGTTTTCTCGGCATTGTTGTGTTGCATTACTGCCGTCAACAATCCGCTTTCGTAACAAGATTGATGACATTGAAGATAACATTACATTACATTACTTTACTTTACATTACATTATAGAGACGTAAATATAATTTAAATACAGAGACGTATTTACGTCAAATTCTCCGGAACCGTGGTTGCTAAGAAATCCAGTAATGTAATAGTTGTAAATGCATATGTAAATAAATATCATGATTGAAATACAAAACGCTTTTTTTTTAATTTTAGAGAATATTTTTTCATAACAAATTAGATCATATTTTGCCTTCTTTAGGTCATATTTATATTTTTGGGGGGCATATTTGCATGCATATTTCTCGGTTCTTTAGGTCATAAACATCCGAACCATACTTATTACTATACCCATCACAATATTGCAGAGCATGTGACATGAACCACTTCCCTGTCTAACGCCTATAACATCTAGAAGCTCTCAAATATCATGCCGTCGATGACCACATTGTTTTTCCAATTTATAAATGTTCTTTATTAACTCTTCTCCTACCTGAAAGCATCTGTCGTGTGTAACACAATTATATTACTATAATCCTTTTCTATATCAACAAAAACTAAATATGTGTTTTTGTCAAATTCCAATCATTTTCATATTATGTGAAAATCAGGTCAATCTCTGATTCTGTATTGTTCTATCATTTTACTTTCCACCGGCCTTCTAAGTTTCAGATGAAAATTTTCCTATGCATTTTAGGCAGGCTCTGTATTGTAATCCCTACGTTTCCATTGGTTTTATCTCTTTTCATAAAAATTCACATCATTAGGCCTTTTCTCCAATCCTCGTATTATCATTCCTTTACTCCACTTATTTCTTACTACTCTATATGCACGCCCACATAATACTCGCCCCTTTAATATAATTTATTTCAACATTAAAATATACCTGCAATCAAAATACAGATCTCAATAACTCCAAGAATTGAAATTGGGTTTCAAAAGTTTATTGAAGAATGTAATATTCCCTCATGATGCTATCACTGTGCAAGATTATTTCAACATGACACTTCTAAATCACTGGACATGTCAAGCAGATCGCAGACTGCGGGTCTCAAGATTCTCCACTTTAATTTTATAACGTGGGCAGAGTTACTACAATATATCTATTCTGCTATTCAACCAAACAGACTGAGTGAGACTTTATGATCACCTGGTATACACTGTGAGCTCATGTGCGTTCAGAAACGTCAAAATGTTAATAAAAACAATGTAAGCAAATAAAAATACATTTCTCTGCAGCTGTTCTCTTAGACAACATCAAATTCAAAGCACTGTTAGTGTAAGAAAGAGAAACAAGACTGAGACAGCAAGAGACTTACAGTGGCTGGCGACACACGGGTGGTGTGTGAGAGGTCAGGATGCACATCACCATCCAGAGAAGAAGGGTTAGTAGTTGAAGTCCCTGGGACCATACACGCCACCCTGCCAGCATCCTGACGGAGGAGAGCATCCCTGTTAGTTGCTCGTAGCACTTGGAGAGGAAATGGAAGACCGGCCAGGTAAGGAACATGCTAAACATGCAGAGAACATAAAATGATACAGAATTCTCACTCCTCATAGCAGAAATAAATATAATAGGATACCAAACTCTCAACAGAACTGAAAAAGCCTTCATCCATGTCTTTGAAGAGGAAAATAGTGTTGTGAGTATGAATGCATAAAAATTACTACTCATACTTTAAAAAAGTTCACGCACACAAACACACACACACACACACGAGACCTTGAATGAGTAATGAGACAAAGATACTGTATTTACAGGGACGAGTCAATCCCTTGTAAAGTAGGCTCTTTCAGCAAGTACACCAGGGGTTCTCAACGAAAAGCTGTTGTCACAAAATCAAAACATTTATCTTTCAAGGCTCTACAACGTACAGGAGCGTAAAAAGTTGTCAGTGGAACCACGGTTCCGGAGAATTTGACGTAAATACGTCTATACGGAAAGGAAGTTTATATATTGGCTTTATTCTAAATATTTCCTTTATACATGCTTTACAATT